GCCGAGGGTTCGGATCCCACATACAGACTGTCTGCTCACTGGCTGAGCGAGGTGTGGGCGCAACGCCGAGGGTTGCGATCCCGTTGCTGGTCCCGGTCCGGTACGGGCGCGACACTGAGGGTTGCGATCCGTTGCTGGACACGAAAAAAGACAAAAAAAAGAAAAAAAAAAGAGTAGACTGGTTGCAATTATATTTGGAGTCACCAAACAATATTGAGCACCTACTGCCTGGCATTTAAATATATACTGTTGTATTTAATCCTCTCAGTAAGGCAATTATTCCTATTACGCAGGTAACAAAACAAAACTGTAAGTTTCTAGTGAAAAAATGATGTACTTGAGGTCACAGTGAGTTAGGAACAGAGATGCTATTTCAATTCAGGCTTAAGTCCCCAGAGAGATTCACTAGTCAATACACGTATGTTTCCCCCTCCCTTCCTTCCTGCCATCCAAAACTAGGTAAACAGTGAGACAAGGAGATATGGCAGCATCATTGCTGGCTTTTAAATGAAGTGAAAAGCCTCTGGTATCACTGACCAAGCAGAAAATCCTAGCAACTATCAAGAATAACTGGTTACCTCACAAATTTAATGTGGAAACTGGATACATTCTTAAGAGACCTCATTCACTTGACAAATCTTCTAGTTTAACCACCGACTTTTCTTATTCCCAGCCACATTGTTAAAATATACAGTTTTAGGATGGAGCACGACACAAAACTGTATTTATGTCCAACTGAGTATACATCGCTAACTGTATTCCACAGTCAAAAGTAAGATACGGGAAATCCAGGATTTTGGATTATCCATACAACTCTCAGACAGGACAGGAAAAGGTGACTGTCACAGTGACTGAATTTTTCCGTTGTGTCCAAGAGAGCACTAGCTAAGAAGGCTTTTAGAGTAAGAAGAGTGTCATCCCAAGTTTCCTTTTTATGTAACCAAATATTATATATCAATTGCTTAAGGACTGTAGCATGTGAATGCAGTAAGCCTGTCTGGATTCAAAGCTTCAATCCATCACCTGGAAGGTGGGTGAGCTCAGTCAAGTTATTTAATATCTGTAGGCTTGAGTTTCCTCAGCTGTAAATTAAGTAGAATAATCATTACAGGATTGTTGAGAGAATTAAATGAAATAATAAGTTAAATGAAATATAATCTCAAAATAATATTCTACCCTAAAATTAAATTGGCTTTAGGCACTCTTGCTAAAATGTCGTAGTTCCTGTAATGTAAATACAAT